AGACAATTCAAAAAAAGACTAAACAAAATAGTCTAGAAGTCGATAAACTTTAAGATTTATTACCAGGAGAGCACGAATGAAAAAGGGTTAGAAAATCACTGCATACGGTCGAACGAAATCGTCCAAAAATTGATAATTTTTAAGATTTAGTATCAGGAGAGCAGAAATGGCAAAGGGTTAGACAATCACTGAATACAGTTGAACGAAATCGTCCAAAAATTGATAATTTTCAACATTTAGTACCAGGAGAGCAGAAATAGCAAAGGGTTAGACAACGCTGAATACGGTTGAACGAAATCGTCCAAAATTGATAATTTTTAAGATTTAGTATCAGGAGAGCAGAAATGACAAAGGGTTAGTCTACTGAATACTGTTGAACGAAATCGTCCAAAATTGATAAATTTCAAGATTTAGTATCAGGAGAGCAGAAATGGCAAAGGGTTAAGTCAATCTCTGAATACGGTTGAACGAAATCGTCCAAAATTGATAATTTTTAAGATTTAGTATCAGGAGAGCAGAAATGACAAAGGGTTAAGTCAATTACTGAATACTGTTGAACGAAATCGTCCAAAATTGATAAATTTCAAGATTTAGTATCAGGAGAGCAGAAACGGCAAAGGGTGTTAGTCAATCTCTGAATACGGTTGAACGAAATCGTCTAAAATTGATAATTTTTAAGATTTAGTATCAGGAGAGCAGAAATGACAAAGGGTTAGTCAATTACTGAATACTGTTGAACGAAATCGTCGAAAATTGATAAATCTCTAGATTTAGTATCAGGAGAGCAGAACTGGCAAAGGGTTAGTCAATCTCTGAGTACGATTGAACGAAATCGTACAAAATTGATAATTTTTAAGATTTAGTATCAGGAGAGCAGAAATGACAAAGGGTTAGTCAATTACTGAATACTGTTGAACAAATCGTCCAAAATTGATAAATTTCAAGATTTAGTATCAGGAGAGCAGAAATAGGAAAGGGTTAGAAAATCACTGCATACGGTCGAACGAAATCGTCCAAAAATTGATAATTTTCAAGATTTAGTACCAGGAGAGCAGAAATAGCAAAGGGTTAGACAATTGCTGAATATGGTTGAACGAAATCGTCCAAAAATTGATAATTTTCAACACTTAGTACAGGAGAGCAGAAATAGGAAAGGGTTAGACAATCGTTGAATACGGTTGAACGAAATCGTCCAAAAATTAATAATTTTCAAGATTTAGTACCAGGAGAGCAGAAATAGCAAAGGGTTAGACAATCGCTGAATACGGTTGAACGAAATCGTCCAAAAATTGATAATTTTTAAGATTTAGTATCAGGAGAGCAGAAATGGCAAAGGGTTAGACAATCGCTGAATACGGTTGAACGAAATCGTCCCAAAATTGATAATTCTTAAGATTTAGTATCAGGAGAGCAGAAATGGCAAAGGGTTAGACAATCGCTGAATACGGTTGAACGAAATCGTCCAAAAATTGATAATTTTTAAGATTTAGTATCAGGAGAGCAGAAATGGCAAAGGGTTAGACAATCGCTGAATACGGTTGAACGAAATCGTCCAAAATTGATAATTCTTAAGATTTAGTATCAGGAGAGCAGAAATGGCAAAGGGTTAGACAATCGCTGAATACGGTTGAACGAAATCGTCCAAAATTGATAATTCTTAAGATTTAGTATTAGGAGAGCAGAAATGGCAAAGGGTTAGTCAATCTCTGAATACGGTTGAACGAAATCGTCCAAAAATTGATAATTTTTAAGATTTAGTATCAGGAGAGCAGAAATGGCAACGGGTTAGTCAATCACTGAATACAATTGAACAAAATCGTCAAAAAATTGATAATTTTCAACATTTAGTACCAGGAGAGCAGAAATAGGAAAGGGTTAGACAATCACTGAATACGGTTGAACGAAATCGTCCAAAAATTGATAATTTTCAAGATTTAGTACCAGGAGAGCAGAAATAGCAAAGGGTTAGACAATCGCTGAATACGGTTGAACGAAATCGTCCAAAAATTGATAATTTTCAACACTTAGTACCAGGAGAGCAGAAATAGGAAAGGGTTACACAATCGTTGAATACGGTTGAACGAAATCGTCCAAAAATTGATAATTTTCAACATTTAGTACCAGGAGAGCAGAAATAGGAAAGGGTTAGACAATCACTGAATACGGTTGAACGAAATCATCCAAAATTGAGAAATTTCAAGATTTAGTATCAGGAGAGCAGAAATGGCAAAGGGTTAGTCAATCTCTGAATACGGTTGAACGAAATCGTCCAAAAATTAATAATTTTTAAGATTTAGTATCAGGAGAGCAGAAATGGCAAAGGGTTAGTCAATCACTGAATACAATTCAACAAAATCGTCCAAAAATTGATAATTTTCAACATTTAGTACCAGGAGAGCAGAAATAGGAAAGGGTTAGACAATCACTGAATACGGTTGAACGAAATCGTCCAAAAATTGATAATTTTCAAGATTTAGTACCAGGAGAGCAGAAATAGCAAAGGGTTAGACAATCGCTGAATACGGTTGAACGAAATCGTCCAAAAATTGATAATTTTTAAGATTTAGTATCAGGAGAGCAGAAATGGCAAAGGGTTAGACAATCGCTGAATACGGTTGAACGAAATCGTCCAAAATTGATAATTTTTAAGATTTAGTATCAGGAGAGCAGAAATGACAAAGGGTTAGTTAGTCAATTACTGAATACTGTTGAACGAAATCGTCCAAAATTGATAAATTTCAAGATTTAGTATCAGGAGAGCAGAAATGGCAAAGGGTTAGTCAATTACTGAATACTGTTGAACGAAATCGTCCAAAATTGATAAATTTCAGGATTTAGTATCAGGAGAGCAGAAATGGCAAAGGGTTAGTCAATCTCTGAATTCGGTTGAACGAAATCGTCCAAAAATTGATAATTTTTAAGATTTCGTACCAGGAGAGCAGAAATAGCAAAGGGTTAGACAATCGCTGAATACGGTTGAACGAAATCATCCAAAAATTGATAATTTTTAAGATTTAGTATCAGGAGAGCAGAAATGGCAAAGGGTTAGTCAATCACTGAATACAGTTGAACGAAATCGTCCAAAAATTGATAATTTTCAAGATTTAGTACCAGGAGAGCAGAAATAGCAAAGGGTTAGACAATCGCTGAATACGGTTGAACGAAATCATCCAAAAATTGATAATTTTTAAGATTTAGTATCAGGAGAGCAGAAATGGCAAAGGGTTAGTCAATCACTGAATACAGTTGAACGAAATCGTCCAAAATTGATAATTTTCAACATTTAGTACCAGGAGAGCAGAAATGGCAAAGGGTTAGACAATCGCTGAATACGGTTGAACGAAATCGTCCAAAATTGATAATTTTTAAGATTTAGTATCAGGAGAGCAGAAATGACAAAGGGTTAGTTAGTCAATTACTGAATACTGTTGAACGAAATCGTCCAAAATTGATAAATTTCAAGATTTATTATCAGGAGAGCAGAAATGGCAAAGGGTTAGTCAATCTCTGAATTCGGTTGAACGAAATCGTCCAAAAATTGATAATTTTTAAGATTTCGCACCAGGAGAGCAGAAATAGCAAAGGGTTAGACAATCGCTGAATACGGTTGAACGAAATCATCCAAAATTGATAATTTTTAAGATTTAGTATCAGGAGAGCAGAAATGACAAAGGGTTAGTCAATTACTGAATACTGTTGAACGAAATCGTCCAAAATTGATAAATTTCAAGATTTAGTATCAGGAGAGCAGAAATGGCAAAGGGTTAGTCAATCTCTGAATACGGTTGAACGAAATCGTCCAAAAATTGATAATTTTCAACATTTAGTACCAGGAGAGCAGAAATAGGAAAGGGTTAGACAATCACTGAATACGGTTGAACGAAATCGTCCAAAAATTGATAATTTTTGAGATTTAGTACCAGGAGAGTAGAAATAGCAAAGGATTAATCGATCGATGAATTCGACTGAACAAAATAGTCTAGTCGATAAACTTTCATATTTATTACCAGGAGAGCAGAAAGAGCAAAGGGTTAGTCAATCACTAAACACGGTTAAACGAAATCGTCCAAAAGTTGATAATTTTTAAGATTTAGTACCAGGAGAATAGAAATCGCAAAGGGTTAATCAGTTGACAAATTTAATGAACGAAATCGTCTACAGTATCCCTTAAATATATAGGTTGAGGGTAGAAAAATTAAAACAAAAATTAAAATTTAACGTTTGTATTGAACTTAACAGATTAAATACAAAAATGTATCATAATATAATCTTTGTTGCTTTTTCTTAGCACTTCCGATGATTGTATGGATGTCACCTCTACACTCAAATTTTAAGTATGCTTAGTAAACCTGTAACAAAAAATTTTGTTTATAAGTTTGAAGAAAATAGTTAAACGTTATATTAGATACTATTAGGTAAGATATGCAAGTACTGACAAGGATACAGGAAACGTAGACTCAAATTTGACAAGAAAGAATTTAATAACCGGATGAACACAATCATACTCTTTTGTTTTAAGCCACTTTTACTTAAATAAATATCACTGCGAAGAATGAATATTGTTCATAATGTTTTTATCTGTGATTTATTTGTTTTATTGTTTATAAAAACGATTTTAACTATCACATGTTAAAATCTTGTTGCAAGAATATACAACTCCCGCTTTGTTGCTGATGAGTGAATTTATTAGCTCAGAAATGTAAATAAACTCAATTGCCGGCCAAAAAACAGATAAAGGAGTAGGGTTCATGCATTACCCTAGCATTGTTTTGAGTAAAATGGTAAAGGCCATAGAACCAAGGTTTTATCTTTATTGTTCTATTAAATTAAAAGTTCTTATTGTGAAACTGTAATATATATATTTCGTAATATAAAAGAAGACGCAGGTGATGAACGATGGTTTTAGTGAAAGCACTACTGAAAATTAACAAGATAAAATCTAAAAACGAAAGTCAAACGCAAAAATTCTTACCTTTTCCTGTAGTAATCTTCACGGCCTATCAGCTAGCTCCTGCTTCTTCCAATTCACTAATTTTCGCTTTGGAGAGTGGCTGATCTGTTATCAGGTTAAGAATTGCTTCAAAACCAGTATGTAAGGTGAAATTGCTGTCCAGTATATTTCGCGTTCGTAGCGTTGACTGCACTTCTTTTTGTTCTAATGCCAATTTAAATGCTGCTTCCTTGGAAAGATCTTCTAGTTGTTGTCTAGACATCTTCAGAACTGCATTCTCATGTCCATTTACCTGTAATGGTAAAAACATTAAGAAAAAGCCACGCAACAACTTAACAGAAACAATTAGCTCATAAAGTTGAGATAGAAAGAGAACAAATTAAACGACCTTTAATATGTTTAACAGTAGACAAAATGTTTAAATCGATAGAGAAGGTAAAACTTGAAGTGAAAGGATGTGTGGGCATCTAGAGTACATATGAACAAGGAACGATAAGTAAAAAGGTGGATAGAAAGAATTAAGTTGAAATTTCACGAGAAAGAATTTTAGACAGACAACAGAATGACCTTAAAGATGATCTAACAGTAAATAAAATGCTTAAAACGTCATCAAACTTTAAAAATAACTAATAAACTTAACAATCTTGTTTTTCGGTTTTGTAAAACTTGACTCTGGAACTTAGAAACGGCCTGTTGGAAAAGAGCTGTGGTTAGATCGAGACGAGAGAAGGTAATAAGTGAAGGGAAAGAGTATGAAGACATCTATAGATGATATAAACAGGGAACGATCAGGAAAACATAACCCACCTACTGGCACTCAATAAGATTATATTCTAAATCGTATGTAATTACTTATATGAATCCGGATATCTATCTATATAAAAGGCTAGGACTACAAGTCACCTTTTTTGTCCGGTAGGATACTACACGTAGTATCGGAAAGATACTAGGCTAGAAATACGCCACCTAGGAAAGAAATCTGAACTACTAACTGACATTTCAATGATATTTTGTTCTTGAAACGATACGGTTGATTTATTGCTAACAATTTTGATTAATGACGTATAATATATATTATCTGGTTTATAAATTTATGAAGAGATATTTATTAAACAAATATATATATATATATATATATATATATATATATATATATAATATATATTTATAATAATATGTATTGTCTTTAAATGATTTAGTGTAGCGGTTCTCAACCTTTTAGCACTGGCGCCCTCTTTGAACACTGAAGATAGCTCACGCCTCCCCTCCAGTCAATAATTGGTTGGTTCAAGTTAGAACAATGAAATTGTGAAACTGACAATGCTAACTCTACGTTAGCAAAAGCTGGGATGCAAAATAACAATACAGATATATTTAAATAGGAAATTTTATTTGATGTCTCATTAAACTTAACATTGTTTATTTATTTAAGAAAAAGAATAATCAAAAAATCAAATACGCATATAAAGTTGAAAGTCTCACATGAGCGTTTTTGCACTTTCAATGAGAGGGTTGGCATTGTCTGTTCTTTCGATATTCGGTTGAAACTGTGTCAAAGCACACCTCAACTCACTTTCAACGTCCAGCCTTGAACGGTATTTTGATTTTATATACGTCAAATCAGAAAAACCAGATTCACAAAGATATGTGGATGAAAACTGGACTAATAACTTCGCAGATACTAAAGCCACTTCTGAGTAAACAGGAAAGTAGGTTAAGCAAAATTCTTCCAAGTCCATGTTTGCAAAATCTGCTTTTGCTTGTGAATCACATTTGCCTGCTATGGAAGGTTAACTGGAAGAATATCAACTTCGATATGATAAGTTTGGCTTGGAACTGTAAAGGCGGCGTTGCCAAAGCGATATTCTTTCTATAAACCCCTTAATTGCATCATAAGTGTTTAAGAGGTTTTTACGGCCTTGAAGCTTCCGATTCAGGACATTAAGTGTTTCAAAAAAGTCAGACAAATAAGCCAAGTAAAAGATATTTTTATCATCTGTAAATATTCTGTGAAGATCTTGTTTTGAAGTCATTAACAAATCTGACTTTAAATTAAATAATCTTGTATGCGTATTTGCTTTGGATAACCACCGGACTTCTGTGTAAAACAGGAGGGTTTCCTGATCACTATTCAGTTCTTGACATAGTGCCTGAAAGAGCCTAGTGTTTAATGCGCTGGATTTGATGTGGTTAACTATTTTAATTGCTAAGTTTAATGTGACGTTGAGAGGTTCAGGTGAAGTCTGACTAGCTAAAGCTTGTCTGTGAATAATGCAGTGAGAACCAATTATCCTAGGGTTTTTCTTTTTTTTTTTTATTCCATAAATCCAGATCGACATCCTGTCATGGCTTGGGCCCCATCAGTACATATGCCAATTACTTTCTCCCATGGAAGTTCATTGATTACTAAAAAATCTTCAAGAGGAGAAAATATGTCAATGGCTTTAGTTGTTGTTTCAAGAGATGTCGAAAACAATATTTCCTCCAGGAACCGTTTTCTGTCAATAAATCGACAGTAAAACAATAACTGTGCATGCTTTGAAATATCAGTTGTTTCGTCACACTGCAAAGAAAAAAAAAACGGTGAACCTTTTAATTTTTGCAATAGTTGATTTTTCAAATCCAGAGCCATGTCATCAATTCTACGTTTTACTGTATTTAAGAAATATTTACTGTAATATAAGAAATTTTTTCTACTTTTTTACGTGGTTTCTTGTGGGATTTCTTGTGTTTAATTATCAAAAGTGCTATTTTGTATAATGCTTCCACAGATTTCTCATTTTCAACACGAAAATTTGCAGTAGAGTCAAGTTTCATACATTTTAGGCTGCATTTTTGGCAATAAAAAATTCTGGGCCTTTATCTTTCAAAGAAGAATGGTTTGTAATTAGATGCCGTTCCAAACATCATTTCTAAGAGTAGTATGGCAGTTGACACACTGAGGTAAATGCCGTTTTTCTCCATAAAGGTAAAACCATACTTGATATAATCGTCTAAATACAATATTTTCTTTGGAAGTGAGCCATTTTCAAAGCTGTTACACAACACTATTAAATAATTCACAATCACTCTATTATTAAATAACGATTACACTGATTGCTACAAACAGCACACAGACGCTGTTGACTGAGACTGACGCGTGAGACGGTGTCACTGAACTGGAGTCAGGAGTACTTGCAATACAGTGTTGGTAAATATACTTTGCGCTCCTACGATGTTGCCATACACAAGACTGTTGTATTTAGCTCAGGTTGTGTGTTTAAGTAAAACGATTTTAATCACGTTTAAATAAAAGAATATTTCTAAACAAAATAAAAATACGAAATACAAAATATTTTGTTTTTTAACAAAATATTTTGTTTCTTAACAAAATATATATATTTTTTCTTTGTACTCTCACGCTTCCCCTGAAATTCTCTCACACACCTCCCCCCAGGTTGAGAACCACTGATTTAGAGCGTGTATCACTCTTACACTTGCTTCGTTGTTTCTTGTTTGTCTACATATCTTGCTATAAACAAATCATATGTTTATCAGTGCATTATAGATTTTACGTAATTACAGTAAAGTTGCATTGATATTGTAGACAAAAATGTTGATATGTCGAGGTATTAGTAAAATGGAAAAAAATAAATAGGTGTGGCAGTCCAGTGGGACTGCCACACCTATACTGCCGGTAGAAGTTATACTTCTATACACGCGTTCGCCGTTACAAATTTATATGGGAGTCAATCTGCACAATCATTAAATATGTAATGCTATAGGTAAGAGAGAGCAGAAAGTGAAAAATAATTAGGTATATAGGTATATGGTGCATCGTTTTTTGTATATAAACACTGACTGTAAGTGTAGAACACGAAACTTTAATCCTACGTATTATAAATTTATAATGTTTTGTTTATTACACACACACAAATATTTTTAAAGCTTACTTACCTGGCAGACCAACTCCAACATGTAGTCCATATCAGTAACAGGCCAATTCTGTTCGAAAACGCTTTTATCCCACAAAAACTCAGAAGTATTTAATCTATTGGGCGCCGTTACGAAGCCGCTCCACAATTCGGAAGCGAAACAAGGAGCCATCGGAGCCAACATAATGATCTGCGCAGCGAAAGCTCTTTCGAATTGTTTGCTGTGAGCTATGATCGAAGGAGGTACTCTCTGAAAATAAATAGATGTCACAAAGTAATATTTGAACACACTTTGATCTTTAATGTCTAAGCATAAACTGCGACCATTACGTTCAAGGTTACTCTTCATCATCATCATCATCATCATCATAAGTGGCTCAACAACCCGTTGTGGATCTTGGTCTGCTCACAAAGAAGTCACCACTCCTGTCGATTCCTGGCAACTTCCCTCCATATTCTGACCCTTAGAATCTGTAGGTCTTTTTCCAGATCATCAATCCATCTCCTTTATGGTCGTCCTCTACTTCTTGTGCTCTCTGATTTTGAAAATGTTAATCTCTTCGTATATTCGTGATCTGACATTCTAGCAATGTGTCCAGCCAATCTAAGTCTCTGCACTTTAATGAATTTCACAATATCTGGATCGATGTATAACTGATATAGTTCAAAGTTGTATCTTCGACGCCATAGCCCATTTTCATCTATGCCCAAAAAATCTTTCTAAGAATTTTCTCTCAAAAATACCAAGAAGTATTTTATCATTTTTAAGATAAGATCCATGTTTCAGCCTCATATATCAAAACCGGTCTTATTAAGGTCTTGTATATATTGAGATTTGCTGCATGTTTTATATTTTTATTTTTAAAATATTTCTGGAGACCGCGAATAGTTCTGTTTGCTATTGCCATGGGTCTTTTTATTTCGTCGCTTGTCGTGTTTGTTGCGTTTACTAGAGGTCCAAGATATATGAATTCTTTGACTTGCTCAAAGGTATGATTGTTAATTTGAATTCTCTGTTGGATATTTCGGGGGGTTTTAGAAACCAACATATATTTGGTTTTTTCCTCGTTTCCCACCAGTCCTAATTCACTTGCCGCTTCCGCAAGCCTTGGAAAACACTGCACCATAAATATATCGTCAGCGGATGCGAGAAATTGCGTCGATGTATTAAAAATAGTTCCATTCATTCTAATATTTAATGCCTAATATCTAATTTCCAAGGCAATATTAAAGAGCAGACATGCCAGCGCATTCCCCTGTCTTAGACCATTATTAATGTTATAGAACGTAGAGTTTTCTCCTTCAATTCTAACACATGTGCTTACGTTTTGCATTGTTAGTTGGGTCAACCTAACTAACTTAGGTATGATGCCAAAGTCTATCATTGCATTATATAATGCAGTTCTTTTCACACTGTCATAGGCTGCTTGTGAACGGCGAAGTCATCAATAATTTGCGATATGCGGACGATACAGTACTCCTTGCTTCTAGTCAAGAAGATCTGCAAACACTACTTGATAGTGTTGTTGAGAGTTGTAGGAAGGCAGGTCTGGATCTGAACATACGGAAAACCAAAATACTCGTAATAAGTAAACGACTGCTTATAAAACCGTCTATATATGTAAATAATACCAAACTTGAGCAAGTTGATAAAATCGTTTACCTTGGACAGCAATTAAATTTTAACGCAGAAAGTCACGGCGAAATTGGATAGAGCAGGCTAAAGCTGCTTTTAGAAAGATGTCCAAGGTGTTATGTAACAGAGACCTAAAATTGGCATTAAGGATCCGCCTACTTCGCTGCTACGTCTTCTCGGTCTTACTTTATGGTGTCGAGTCCTGGATTGTGAATAAAATCGATCTAAATCGCCTTGAAGCTTTCGAAATGTGGTGCTATAGAAGAATTTCAAAGTTTCCTGGGTGGAGAAGATTCGAAACTCCACAATACTAGAACGTCTCAGCAAGACTACTGAGATCATAAAAAGGATCAAGCAGAGAAAGCTGGAGTATTTCGGACATGTAATGAGAGGTCCCAAATATAGGTTGCTACAAGACCTTATGGTTGAAGAACTTTCCTGCCGCTGTCACTTTCGACTTTTTTTTGTAAATTTTGCCACATATTCGCTTTTCCACGATTATGAAGCATGTTCGCCAATTTTGACGCCTTTTCTGGGCATGTGATGCTGCTTTGTTGTTTATTCAATTCTTTTTGAACATTTTCAACATATTTTTTTTTCGTCGTTATGTCGCTTTTGACGTTTTTTTTTTGTCGTATTTCGGCGCGTTTTCGCCGCTTCTTTAACAGTTTTGACACCTTTTCTTCGCATCTGACGCTTCTTTGTTATTAATTCGATGATTTTTAAATGTTTTTCAATCTCTTCTTTCTTTTGCACCGCTACATCGCTTTTGACATTTTTTTGCGTTTTTGAAACATATTCGCTTTTATCACGATTTTGGCGCATTTTCGACAGTTTTGACGCTTTTTGGTTTCCTTTAACGCTTTTGATTCTTTTACGTCACTTCTTCGATGCTTTTAATGATTATTTTTGTCGCTTTTGGTACTTTAAATATAAAGATATTTTATATAAATTTACTTCTTTTCGCGATTTTAAGACTTTTCTTCGTATTTTGCTATTTTTCAACGCTTTTGATTTTTTTTTGTTTTTACCACTTTAACCAATTTAGGCCCATAGTTGTGCAAACGCAACATATTGAATGCAATTTTTTTTTACAGTCATACTGAAGATTTTTATATAAATTGGGGATAGTATTGTGTTAAAAAAGATTTAACAATTCAGAAAAAAATTTCCACGCAAAAAAATATAATTCGAAATAGGCAAAATAACTATAGGCATTATTACAAGCGAGGTACATTCTCAAAAAATGCTTTAAAATATTTAGATATTATTATTTTATCATTCACAAGATATTTTCATAGCTTAGGGATATAAAGTAATAGTATTCTAAACGTAAAATTGATTTGTTTTTAGAAAATAATGTCGTTTCAGGACTTTCAATATAACGTTGCTTTAACGCAACTATGGGACAATACGAATAATATATAGAAGTGACTAATTTCTTGTGTAAACCTGACTTACCTGATAAATACGTAGTGTGTGTTATTTTGTCTTGCATATACTTTCTGTATGCTTTCTGTTAGACATACGGTGTCTGTAAGTGTTCAGTAATAGTTGACAAAAATTGGTATCCTGTTATATTCTTGGAAAACTGATAGTCGAGGGTAGAGTTGAAAAAGAAGACCTAGGGGAAGATCTCCAACCGTTGGGTAGATCAAACAAAAACATTGATTAACCAAGTGTTACATGAAGCCGAACAACTAGCCCAGGACAGAGAAGGATGGAGGGAAATCCTAAAAAAACTGTGAAGGCCTGATGGTGTCACCACATCCCAAAAGGGATTAGGACTGAGGAGGAGGTTATATTCTTAGATAACGTGAAATTTGATATCATGATAAATTCTTTTATTTTTCGATATTTATGTAAATATTACTAAGTTGGTCACTAATTTTAGGGCGATAAAAAGTATCAGGATGATTCTAAAAGCCCTTGACCATGAAAGAGCTCGAAACTATAGTTTAAAACCTGGATGTAGATGATGAGATAAATGTTTGTTTAATACCTCCAGAAGTTGATAACCTAACAGATGAGGAACATATATGTAGATGAGGATGATATGAATAATATAAATAGTTTGCCGAAAGATGTGCTTGGAACATTTGAAATAACAAATATAAATGAAGAAGACGAGTTAGAAGAGACAAGTGTAAGTCAGTCTCATGTGCAATCTATCAAAAGCCAAAACAAAAAATAGCTCGATTCGAAAACGTAACATGGCGCAGAAAACCTATTAAGTATGGAAATTATGCTGATTCGAATGAAGAAACTCACATAAAAAATATCGTTGAGGAGTTGCATGAAAAGTCGGTACTGAACTATTTTACGGAAATGTTTGATAAAGATATTATGCAATGTATTATTTCAAATTCAAAAAAATATTCGAGAGGTAAGAACCGTCCCAGATTTGGATCGAAATGATTTAGAAATATTTTTGGGATTGTTGATTTTGAGCGATACTCTTCCCGTGTAAACTTTACTGGTCTGCCAATGAGGATAAGGGAGTTCAGTTTGTGAAGAACGCAATGTTTCGAAATAGATTTCTTAAAATAAAGCGAAACATACGTCTTGCAGATAACGATAAGCTAGATAAACAAGATAAATTTGCAAAAGTTCGTCCAATGATCGACCTCTTGAAAAAATTTTTTTTAAATATGGTGTTTTCAGTCAATACTTATCAATAGATGAACAAATGGTCCCATACTTCGGCCGTCATTCGGCAAAAATGTTTATAAAAGGGAAGCTTGTTCGTTACGGATACAAAATGTGGTGCCTTGCATCTAGTAATGAATATTTATACAACTTTTACCCTTATGCTAAAAAATCCAACCAGAATAATTCAAAAGAGTTAAGTATGAGTGAAGCAGTTATTATCAATCTTTTAAAAGTCGTAGAAGACAAGTCTGCACACAAGATATATTTTGATAATTTCTTTACCAGCTACAAGTTGTTAGTTCATTTGAAACAACAAGGATACTTTGCCACTGGAACAATACGTGAAAACAGCTGCTAAATTGTCCGTTGGAGAACACAAAATCCAAAATAAAAAAAGATCGCGGCACTATGGATTGTCGCTACGATCAAACTAATAAAATAAGTGTTGTGCGTTGGAACGATAATTCTGTGGTGATGGTGGCAACCAATTGTGATCCAGTAGAGCCTGTTCTTCCCGTAAAACGATACAATCGCAAGGTAAGAAAAGATATCGCTATCCCACAACCCAACATAATAGCTAAATATAATAAATACATGGGGGAGTGGACTTACATGACAATGGAGTGGCTAATTATAGAATTAATACTTGTGTGAAAAAAAGGTGGTGGCCGCTATTTATAAACATGTTAGACTCTGCTGTCGTTAATGCCTGGAAACTCCACAGAATTGTACATGAGGAAGATCCAATTTCGCAATTAGATTTTAGGTTATAGTGTTAACAAAAGTAGAACAAATCTGTTAGAGATCGTAACTATAGTTCATCCTTACCATCTACCTCGCATTTGGATAATGTGGGCCTCGTGATTGAACGCAATAATGAAAACTGGAGAAGGCGTTGTAGGCTATGTAAAAGTACAACTGTTTTTATGTGTAAAAAATGTAATATACCATTATATCCACAGTGTTTCAAAGACTACCACAAGTGAAAATAAAAATATTTTTATGTTATACCTATAGTCCCAATATTGTGTTAACGCAAAGTTAAAAAAAATGGACGTGTAGTTTTTTTTCTTCATGTAGATTTTAAATTATCTTTATTTGTGTTTAATTAAATATATATTTAATAAAAAATCATTAATTTTATTATGTTTTCGACAAGTGGGCCTAATTGGGTTATTATATATTAAATATTGAAATGTTTAGGAAATATTTACGTTGTTACGAATGTGGCTCTATTTTGTAAGCTTTTTGACGAGTTTTGACGATATTAACACTTTTTCTTCGTAATTTGGTGCTTTTTTTGTCACTTATCTGATACTTGTTACAAACATATTCGCTTTTCTTACGATTGTGGCATTGATTCTTTGGCTGTTCGACGATTTTGACGCTATTTCTAGCTCCATCAAGGTTTTGACAATTTCCCCCGCTTATTTTATCACTGATAGGCAATTATCAATTTTTGGCGGTTAAAACGGACAAGATCAACTAGATATATAAACTGTAATAAAATCAATACTTACTCTAAGGCTATTCGTCAGTCCTTGCTGTTTAGAAACTGCCACACTGATCTGCTGCGTGATTAAATAGTTGTAAGAGACTCCTTTTACGTAATAGTTTCTGGAATCGTACATATAGTTATCGTGACTTTGAAACTGATCTTCTGGCAAAGGAGGAGGCAAGGTATTCCTATGTTTTAAGAAATTCTTGCATTGTTAACCACAGTCGCCTTTGCCAATTTAGAATACCGGGAAAAGCTAAAAGAATTTGTCGAGTGAATATTGTTTCAAATTGAGTCATGCGTTATCATGGCAAAATAAAAAAGATCATCATGTTCAATATTAACATTTAAGTTGTGGTACCAATTTCATCGTGATATGATAATCACTGTGAAGTCAACGATTTTTGGGGGAAATTTTGGAGTCAGGTGACTAACATACAGCTTCCTGATTAGCTGAAAGCATTACAAATTTCCTCCCAAAACTGGACAATTTAATTAACAATTCCGGTGCATATTAAAGTTAATTTTGTATATAAAGGCCAATTTCCATAGATATGGGAAATTTTGGGTCAAATTATCAATACACAGCGACCTCGTAAGTACGGTGCAATCATCGCAAATTATCAACTTACAATATAAACCTTTTAACAGTTTTGGGAAAATTATTAAATCACATAATAACAATACAGCTTAGTATTGGTAAAAAGCACCGCAAATTCATCAATTTTTCCACAACTCTAGGGAAATTTCAATTAAGTAACTATATTAAACTTAAATTTGTATATAAAAGCCAATTTTCATGAATGTGGGGAAATTTGGACCAAAACACAGTGGTCTGATATACTGCAATCATAGTAAATTATCGACTTTTTACCCAATCTAGAGAAACTGTTAAAATTGAGGTTCATAGACACATTCTATTTGTTCATTCAAAGTTTTATATGTGCAGTAGAATTCTGTTACATCATAAAAAGACCAAACATCATTGGTTAAAGTTGTGAAACGGGTCCAATTTCGGCAGTGTTAGAAATTTCGTATTACGTGCCAAATACACAGAGCTGATGGACCTAAAGCATCGCAAATCCGACGATTTTTCCCCAGATCTACAGGAACTTAATAATGACACATTTTTTTATTTATGTAAAAAAATGTATCATGTATCAGTATAAAAGAAAATGATATTTATCGACCAAGTTTAAGAATGTGTAGCATTTTGTTGAACTACGATTAAACTTACCTTTGTAAGCTATTAAAGTAAATATAGACTCGAATTTCTCCAGGTTTCTTTATCGGCAAAAAGTAAAACGACACCACAAACAGCTGATAAAACATACTTTTCAGACAAACCTTGATATAAAACATATTGTTATAGTTTCATGTTATGAATAAAATACCCAAAACTTTTGACCTTAAAATCTTTCAACTTAGTGGAAAAATATCTACAAACACATGTTTAACCCAGATTATTGTCTGACTAAAATTCTTTACCTTTCTGCATAAAACTAATCAAAAATCCAATGATTTCTATGTTTAATTAGATTTTAGCAATTTATGAATAAAATACTGGATACTCACTGTTGTTATTCCAATTCCTATGACTTGTTGGAGCAACATCTGCTAACACGAGTAGTCTTGTAGTATCAGTTCCATATTCCCTAAACATATCCTCTGGATCCACGCCATTGTATTTGGATTTGCTCATTTTCTCCCAACTAATAATAACAGGTTCGTTGGTATCTTTGGTAATAGCTTTATTTTTCTTCAAATCTAAAATTGACCATTTAAAAGTAATGTTACAGTGAATTTTATTGGAGATATTAAAAGAACCAGTAGTAAAAACCTATAAAAAAACATAGCTCTAATTATTCAAGAAAAATAACATTTTTAAGACTACAGACTTCATAAATTTGCCATATGTCTCAAATTAATAGTCAGATTCTTCAATATCAAACACAAAAATACTTGCCTAAAATTTTAACTTCACTTTCATGTACATATCTTCCAGTTCCTTTTATCCTATAGCTTCTTCCCATTACCATTCCTTGAACGAGCAATCTCCTGAAGGGTTCCTTTTCTGGTACTAAGCCTAAACTGTGCAAGAAATGCATTATAAATCTTGCATAATACATGTGAAGCACAGCATGTTCTTTACCACCAATGTACAAATCCACAGGTGCCACTTTGTCAAGAATTTCTTTACTGAACATTTCCTTTTCATTGTGAGGATCTGCGAATCTTAAGTAATACCAAGAACTATCAACAAATGTGTCCATGGTGTCAGTTTCTCTAGTTGCGGTACCTCCGCATTTGGGACAAGTTGTGTTGAGCCAACCTGACAGTTCAGCCAATTGTGATCCAGATTTTTGGGATTCATGTTTTAGTTCTGGGAGAATGACTGGGAGATCTTTTCTTGGAACAGGTTGAGGGCCGCAGGTTTTGCAGTGTACTATAGGTATTGGAGTGCCCCAATATCTAAAAATTATTTTCAATGAAGTAATAAGATACACACACTCTTTCCAGCAAGACTTGGTTATACATAAGTTTTTTAACATAAAAAGCTTATTTATTGTTTAAAATGTTGTATATATCTCTCTGTACATAGAGGTATAACCTTCTACACCTCATAAGACAGGGTAAGTTCGCTTGAAGGAGAGGCTCAGGCTGATGAAGAACATCCTGGTTCCGAAATATCTGAGAATGGTATCAAGAAACCACCGCCAATTTATTTAGAGCCGCCGTAAAAAAGTTATTATTCATATTATTATTATCATATATATTATCATATTATTGCCAATATGATCGCCAACATTTGATAATTGGACAGGGTACTGAAAGAAGAAGATATGAAATCAAAGGCAAATGAAGCTTCAAAAACAACATTTCAATGATAGGTATTCATTAAAAAATAAATATGGATGGTTGTGTGGTGATAATAATAATGAAATTCGCCAGACCTAGATTATATGCAAAATAGACTAATAACACAAGAACTTCTAAACTTAATAAAACAGCTGGTGAGACAAATTAAAAAATTACAAAACATACAAAAATACATACAAAAGAAGAGACAAATTTAAAACATTACAGAATACATACTAATACAATAAATGAACATCAAATATGTTCATTTATGCTCTTTATAAGCACAAAATATCATAAAAAGTCCACGAATGCACTAGATCACCATATCTGTTTTATTGATCTAAAAAAACAGTTTCTAGTAAAATCAAACTCCACAAAATCATCTACAAATGATAATAACGAGAATGGAACATTATTAACATTGATAAAAACTATAAATCACTCACCTTTGTCTAGATATTAACCAATCCCTTAGTTTAGGACTTGTCCAGTAACCTCCTACTTTCAATTCTCTTGCTTTATTAATTATATTATTGCGCTTTTCTTCTAATACTAAACCTTCAAGAAGTTCTACATTTTCAAATGTAATACTGTATTTTCTTGCAAAGTCAGTCGATTCTTCTGAGACACCAGGTATTCCTAAAGAACATAAACAGTCCATTTTGGTATCATAAAATTCTTTATTAACTTTTGGGGAAGTTTTAAAAATAATAAATGAAGAAATGAGTTTCTGTCTTACTAATTAATGGTAGGAACATTGTAATACAATAGTATCCAACATTTGATCTCTTCACCCAAAATGATAGACAGATTTGTAGTTATTTTCTGTTTTAAAGAGTTGTGTAAAAGAGGATGTTGTAGAAATATGATTAGAAAATTTACACCAAAATGATTCTGTGATACATTTATTGAGTTGTCCAGTATATATGTTAGGTAGATTAACATATTGTTGAGTAAAAACTAATATTTACATAACATTTATTTGCTTTTATTCTAAATATCAATACTTACCAATATATGAATCTGTTAGTGGCAAAAAATTCACTTCATTAGTAACATAAACTGGTATTTTTGCAGAATTGATAGGGTTAATCAACTGTGTCCTTAATCTAACAGTTTCTTGTTCACTCTTAAGCTTAACATCTTCCTTTTTGGCTAATATATTATCACTAGTCACAGCCACAAATTTTACATTTTCTACATATTCAGGAGTAGAAGTCCACAGAGTCAAAAATTCCTTATTATTTCCTTCAACAGTAAAATCAAAATTAACTCCATCACAGTCTCCAATCCAGTGCTTCTGTAATTTAGTTATATCCCTCCAATCTTGTAGAATAGGATCGTTTAGACCTTCTAGAAGATTTTTGGCAAATCTTGTAGTTCGAATGTACCATTGTCTGAGGATTCTCTTTTCTACTTTTGCTCCAGAACGCCAAGAATTGCCATTTTCATCTACTTGTTCATCTGCCAACACTGTTTGATCTATGGGATCCCAGTTGACTAGTGCTTCTTTCTGATACACCAATCTAAAAAAATTGTGGTTCAGAAACAGTGTAATAAAGAACAACAACAAATAAGAATACAACATGTAGTTTATTTCAATATTCTTGACACTAGTACTATTTTTATTTTTTGTCTTTTATCCAATATGAATGATAAAATATACTGTATAAACAAATACATCCATAAAATACTTACCCTTCATCATACAGTTTTAAAAACAAATCCTGAGTCCATTTATAATATTTTGGATCACAAGTGTTGAACTCCCTATCCCATTCAAAACTACAGTTTAATCTCTCAAGCTGTTCTTTCATGTGTGCTATATTCTGTTTTGTCCAAACATCTGGAGCTATCTTACGATCTATAGCTGCATTTTCAGCTGGCAATCCAAATGCATCCCAACCAATAGGATGTAGGACCTAAAATAGTGTTAAACAATGTTTAGGTAGTTAACATATCTGTGAAAGCATGAAAGGTGATATTAGAATAGCCGCTTACATTTTTACCATTCAGTCTTTGGTATCTAGCAACTGTGTCACTAATTGTATAAACCCTAACATGCCCCATGTGAAGAGCTCCTGATGGATATGGAAACATTGACAATACATAATATTTTTCCTTATTTGTCGAACTGTCCTTAAATGGGTTAAACTTTAATTTATCTTTCCAGTGCTTTTCAATTTTATGTTTTATTTCAGATGAAATGTCTTGGTCCTATAAAAAGAGATGTTAATTAAATTATTTCTAAAGGAATTAGCGATTTTTTTACCCATAAGTTTAGTCCTGACAAACAACGATAACTAACTATCCTCTTTAATGCTTTGTGTCGTAAAAAACATTTTTTTATGGTAAACATTGTTCAAGTCTTATTTAAAATATTTGAAATTTACTTTTAACATAACCTAACTTCACATCCATATGACATAAGTTAGATCATAGATCAGTAGATCACAGAATATAGGTCTTGTATGAATTATCTGGGACTGTGATATATTCAGCATTTTTGCTAGATGGATATATTATAATATATTAGCAAATCTACACCTATATAATTTGCTACTGTACCTAAGTGCGAAAGAAAATAAATGATTTCATTAAAATATAAGCTGTAGAGCATAGTCGATTAAACAATGTTACACTGAAAAAAAAATTAAATTTTAGAGTAGTTCAATTATAACATTTTTGGTACGAAACAGAAGAAATATTGATTTGACATTTCACAAAGTGACAACAAACAACATAACCTCAATTCGCCTAATAAAATATTCGTATTTAATTCGTTTGGTTTACAAAATGAATTTAAAAGAAGAGGGACCACCAAGGAAATTAAGAAAACTGGAAGGTAGCGTTTGATTTAATATACTGTTTTAATTATTAATTTAATTATTTGATTTTGCAGATATAAAACCTAATATCCAGCAACCTCTAGCAAATAGTAACCTAACAGCTTCTTCTAGTAAGTATACCTATTATTCTGAAATACATAATCAAATATAAATTTTGTTTTAGATTCTTCTACAAGACTTTGTCCTTATTTGGATACAATAAACAGACAATATTTAGATTTTGATTTTGAAAAGCTATGTTCGGTTTCCTTAACCAGAATTAATGTTTATGCCTGTTTGGTGTGTGGTAAATATTTCCAAGGAAGAGGCACTAATACACATGCTTACACACATTCTGTAGCTGAGGGACATCATGTGTTTCTGAATTTACAAACCCTCAAGTTTTATTGTTTGCCTGATAATTATGAAATAATTGGTAAGCATTTTAGGAGATTGATATCAATACATACAAGTATATCTAGGATCTGAAAGTTTTATATTCTTGTTGTTCTTCTTCATAAAGCATAAATAAATGCCCCACAATACTTAACAGCATAAAACATGTTTTTAACCAATGTAATTTATTTTTCAAGATTCTTCATTACATGATATCAAATATGTGCTAAATCCAACATTCACAGAGCATCATATTAAGAATTTGGATGGTAATACTAAATTATCAAGAGCTATAGATGGTTCTCTATATGTACCAGGAATTGTTGGTTTAAACAATATAAAGGCTAATGACTATTGCAATGTGGTGTTACAGGTAACAAAAGTGTATTATTTAATGCTATGTCTTATTTCCTCCATATTTTTCTTCTTTTTTTGCTGAACAGTATGTCTCATGTGTTCTTATCATCTTTGTGTTGACAGTATTCAGTAATATTGTTTCAACATATTTATTTATAGGGCCTTTCTCATGTGACACCTCTACGGAATTACTTTTTGAGAGAAGAAAACTACAGCAAAATAAAAAGACCTCCAGGAGATTCAGCATATTTGTTGGTGACAAGATTTGGTGAACTTATGAGAAAGTTATGGAATCCCAGAAACTTCAAGGCACATGTTTCACCTCACGAGATGCTTCAAGCTGTTGTTCTTTGGAGTAAAAAACAATTTCAGTTCACTCAACAAGGTATAGACATTAATAATATGCATTTGATTTTTTTGTATATAAGGCAAGGCACTTTAAATTTTTAATTACAATTAGTTTAATATATGTTTTAAAATATTATATATTTTTCTGTTTATCCATATTTATAGCTGTAATATTTAAAAACATCTCTCTTATTCTTAAGGTGACCCAATTGACTTCCTTTCTTGGTTTTTAAATGCTCTTCACAAGGCACTTAACGGCACAAAGAAGAAAGATAGCTCCATAATATACAAATCGTTCCTTGGCAATATGAAAATATACACCCGAAAAATACCATCAACAGATTTAAATGACAAGGAAAAAAAGACTCTTTTAGCAACTCCAGAATATCAGGAAGTTGAAACAGAGTCACCCTTTTTGTATTTGACTTGTGATCTTCCACCACCACCCTTGTTTATTGATGAGTTTAGGGAAAATATTATTCCACAGGTAAAGTATATTAAGATTTTATGTGACTACAATTGTTAGAAAGAAAATTTTATTATTGCTTAATACAAATCTACAGCTACAACTACTTTAAGCAGTTGTAAGGGCTGTAAGGGACACAACTTATGCTTTGCTGTCTAAATATTGGCAGTGATCATCTGATTCTAATTATTCTTGAATTTAAACAGTAAAATACAATTAGAACTTGAATATCGTTAGATATACCTAATTATTTTGACAAAATATTCAACATTTTTAGTAATTTCAATTTCTAGGTCAACTTATACCAACTATTAACAAAATTCAATGGTCAAACTGAGAAAGAATACAAAACTTACAAAGAAAACTTCATGAAAAGGTTTGAAATTACGAGGCTGCCGCCTTATCTTATTTTGTATATAAAAAGATTTACCAAAAATACTTTTTATGTGGAGAAAAATCCTACGATTGTGAATTTTCCTGTAAGGTAAGAAAATAATAATGCTCTCCTCTGTATGTTCTATATTGTGCTATTATTTATAGTCCTTTTGCCTCGTTAGTGTTAAGTTCACCATATAGATTTTTTTATGCTTGTGCTTTAGTTTTTACTTACTCTACATGTGATAATGATATTTTTTCCACATTTCAAGTCTCAAGAATTACTCCTTTCTCTCTTCACAAACTATTCATGAGGCAATATTTTTACATATTTTATTGTTGGTTTATTATTTAAGATATATTCTAAAAATATTGTTATGTTTTAGGAACGTGGACTTTTCTGAATTCCTAACACCCGAAATCAAAGCAAAGCATCGGCACACGATATACGATTTGGTTGCAAACATTGTACATGACGGTGAACCGAATAAGGGAACTTATAGGGTGCACATTTTGCAAAAATCTACTGGCCAGTGGTACGAAATGCAGGATCTACACGTGACAGATATTTTGCCGCAGATGATTACGTTAACGGAAGCTTATATACAAATTTATGAATTGAGAACACAGTAATAAATAAATATTTTTAAGTATATTTTCGTTTTTGTTTTATATTTGACATAATGATGTTAAGTTATATGAATTTCTGAACATAGTTATATATGATGTGAGAATCAAAATATTTCTCCGATTTTATAAAGAAATCTATCATCATCATCAGTGGCCCCACAGCTTGTTAAAAGCCAAAGACTTATTCAAAACAATCCTCCATTTGCCCATGTCTTTGAAAACTTTCCTTCAAGCTCTAACTCAAATAAATTTTAAATTATTCTTTAGCTTTTCTTGATACCTTAGTCTCCGTCTTTTCCTATGGCTCGTTGTTGCATCGGCCCTCTTTGGTCAAAAACTTTTCTGACTGTTGCACCTTCCTCTCGACTGATTACATGCCCTATCCACCTAATGTCCATCCAATCTTAATGCATTTTACGTCAGGTTCCCTTCTTCTTTAAGTGCCATCTCCACGACGGAGGTTGGCAATCATCATGGCTATTCTGACCTTCGAGGCAGCTGCTCTGAACAATTGCATTGAGCTGCAACCAAACCACTCTCTCAGGTTCTTCAACCAGGAAACGCGTCTTCTTCCTACGCTTCTCCTACCCTCTATTTTTCCTTGAATTATGAGTCTCAAGATGTTGACTCTTTCGCCTCTCATTACATGTCCGAGATATTGCAATTTTCTTTCTTTTATTGTATTTTCCATTTCCTTCTCTATGCCTATTCTCCTTAACACTTCTGCATTCGTGACTCTATCTAACCATGGATTAACAATCTTCTAAATGTCCACATTTCAAACGCGTTAAGTCGATTTATTGTATTCCGGTTTAATGTCCATGATTCAGCTCCATAGTAGAGTACACTGTGTACATAGCCTTTAATTAGCCTTATTCTGAGGGCCAATGTCAGATCTTTGCTGCATAAAATCTTTTTCATTTTCACAAAGTTGGCACGTGCTTTTTCAATTCTGACTTTTATCTCTGCAGTATAATCGTTATTTTCTGTGATTATCGTTCCCAAGTAAGTATATCTTTTTACTCTCTCAATCTGCTGGTCGCCTACCGTTAATATTTCATTTATATTGTTGTTCTTACTAATTTTCATGAATTTGGTTTTTTTTATGTTAAGAGAGAGTCCGTATTCTCCACTATATCTTAATATTTTGTTTATTATTCTTTCTAAGTCTTCCAAGTTGTGGGCTATTATGACTGTATCGTCGGCATACCTAATGTTGTTAATTAAACTTCCGTTCACTTTTATGCCGACTGTCTCGTTTACCAAAGCTTCTTGTTCCCTAAAGGTTCCCTAAAACTGCTCAACAACTTAAAGTTGTAATGACTGCGCCACAAACCTTGCTTCGTTCTGTTCATTTTGTGTAAGTTCCATGTTTCTGCTCCATTTGTTAGCACTGGTCTTATTAGTGTTTTATAGACCGTTACTTTAATTTCTCTTGGTAGTTTTGAGGCCATATTTCTTCACAAGCCTTAGTAACACTTATTGGCAAGCACTATTCTTTGGTAACATTGTTATCTATAGTCAACAGCGAGCCTAGGTATATGAAGGTGTCCACACCTTCCAGTTCTAAACCGTCAATTATTATTTTTCTTGATGTATGGTTGCTTTACCTAGTACAATACATATATTTGGACTTTTGGGCATTTATATTTAATCCCATTCTCAGCGCAGATGCAATAAACGACCGGAATGAACGTCAAAAACTGTAGACCTATGTAGCTATGATGTCATCTGTATATCCGACAACTTCTAAAAATGTGTTAAAGATAGTGCCATTATTGTTAATCTGGGACTCTCGAATTACTTTTTCTATTCTAGAGCAAGGTCAAATGAGTGGATCCGAACCAGGTGCCTATACATCAAATTCACTCTTTTGGGATAATTGGTGGTAAAGTTCATTGGTTATATAAATTTCGAAATAAAGTAACATCGCTACATTTTGTGGTTTTGTATACGAGAAAATAAAATAATTTAGGTAGAATAAAGCAAAAAAATTATTTAAAAATTAGCTTTGTTAAAAAAAAGTAGCAGGCAGCAAGGATCAGTGTGAAAATTACAGAGGAATTGCGGTAAACAGCACAATAAGTAGGATGTATGGGAAACTTGTTAAGAACAAAATAGAAAATGACTAGAGATTACGAAGCAGAGGAGCAAGCTGGTTTTAAAGCTTGGCGATCCACGGTAGACCACCTGTACTCTATTACGCAAGTTATTGAGAAAAAAACAGCCTTCAATAAAGAAGTTCACCTGGTGTACGTAGACTTACAAAAAGCATATGACAGTGTACCCTAAGTAAACTAAGGTCAACCTACAGCAAACCAACATTAAGCATGGTCTTATCAAAGCAGTCCAAAGTCTGTATAATGGAACGACTGCAAAAATTAAAACTGGATCAAGGATATCTGAAGGATTTAAGGTCACGAAAGGACTAAAGCAGGGTTGCTGTATTTCGCCTACCCTTTTCAAAATTTATCTGGAACAAGCACTCAAGCTATGGAAAAGAAAATGTAATGGCATGGGAATCCCTCTTAATGACGAGACTACACTGTACACCTTATGTTTCGCTGATGACCAAATACTGATTGCCCAGGATCATGACGACTTGAGTTACATCGGAAGCTAATAGAAGAATGGGGTCTCGAAGTCAACATTAAGAAAACTTAAGCCATGTGTGTTGTGATGGTATCCTTACTTAAATAGCTAATAATTAATAACAATTGGTTATCATTACTTATGCCTAATAACTCAAATTCATTCCCTTGTGTCAATGACTTGCTACCGTGTTCCAATATATAACATGTGTATTAGGGCAACAATCCATTATATAGACGTTGGGTAGACGATGGGATAGAAATTAGAAACTGTGATGAATACAAGTACTTGGGTATGAAGATAACACAAGATGGAACACTCGATGCTGCTATAAAAGACAGAAATATACAGGGTAGAAAAGCCATATCCATGATGAACGGCATTCTGTGGGACCAAACAATATCTAAAGCGAACAAACAACTCATATACAACACCATACTTAAAAGTGTAATCACATATGGCAGTGAAGTTTGGCCAATGAAACAAAGAACAGAGAAACTGTTACTAGCAACAGAAATGGACTTCTGGAGAAGAGCAGCAGGCAAATCAAGAAGAGATCGGATACCAAATGAGAGAATACGAGAAATGATGGGAGTCAAGCATACAATAGTTGATGACATAAAAACAAAACAGTTAATATGGTACGGTCATGTACAGAGAATGCCAGATGACAGGATTCCAAAACAGATTTTGACGTGGACACCACAAGGGAGAAGGAAAAGAGGAAGACCGAGAAGAAGCTGGAGAGAGGGAATTGAAAAAGAACTAGAGGAAAGAGAAATCCCTCCAGGCCTATGGTTGAATAGAGAAGAATGGCGGTTAGGAGTCGGAATGCGTCGGAGAACGCTGTAAACCGATAGTAGTAGTAATAGTAAAAAAAAAGTAAAAAATGTTGTATAGGCCTTTTTCGCACTAACAAAACAAAAATATTTTGAACAAAAAAAAATGTATTACTCCGTCTCTTTTGTCTTGAATCTATGCTAGACCTGTATCCATCTTATTGGTGCTTTGAGATTTTTAAAATAGTTGTGATGGATAGGAGGTTCGTACTTTAACAATTAGATCTTTTTTTCTCTACTGTTATCCGTCTTCCTTGGGGAAATAATAAAACTCCATATATGAATTTGCTAAGGGACGGCCACGTATCTTTTTCGTAAAGCCTACTTCAGAAAAATAACGTATTAGTGTTATAGTTATATTTAAAATATGTACATTTTTGTCGTCACAGATTGCCGTAATCCAGGAAATTTTAAGCCATTCTACTTTTTCTCCTGTAATTGCTTTCTTCCTATTTACGATGTCCTGCTCCAATTTTTTGGTACTGAAAAAATCACTTTTTTCCCATTTTATGAGTACACAATTTAGGCTCTTTGAGATGTTTATCCAGTCGTCTAACAAAAATATATTTTGTTGTGATTTTCCTTTCCTTGTCAATGACGCCAAAATTTTGATCGCAAGTAGAAAAACTGTGTCCAGGTACAAGAAATTTTAGATTTATTTCCTTTACATTGCTTCTTTGCATTTGGTTAAGAAGACCTACAACGATTTTTATATTTCTATTCTGAAAATTGTTTTCTCTTTTTCGGTTTTTGCTGCTTTCTTCTTTAATTGCTTCACGATGTCTGCTATTTTTTGGTGTAGGTTCCTTTCCGCTTCAATCTTAGTTTTCTCTTTCCCTTCATGTAATGTTTTAAACAGAGTTTTAAAATAGTCGCATTGTTGACATGTGTCTTTTTGTGGCCAGTGAAATGATATATTAAAAGAATAGTTAAAGATATCTCCAAAGACAAAACGAGACAATAGATTTATTTCCACAACTTCACAAAATTTTTCACAATACTTCTTTACTTGTGTGATGCCTACAATAATGTGATTCATATACTGGGCATTTTTTAATAGAGTGAATTAGGTACTTTGCATCATCTCTATTTCTCTTATTATGTGGTGCATGTTTACCACGTTTATCCGAAATGAGAGTTTCTGTATATGCTTTTCTTTTTAGAGTATTTGTTATTTTGCCATCACTAACATCTAAGACATTTTTTAAAAAATCTTTACATACTTTGTGGTCATTTTTATTTGCAACTTGTAATCTAGCTGGCTCTGAGCCACTCAAATAAAAGACACGATAGTCCATCACCCTGTCTTAATCCATTTTTGCAATGCAAAAGATTTTGAACGCTGAAATCCACGACTATATGGTGAGTGTCGACGCCGAACTCTAAGAGTTTTTTCAAAAATCTACCTCAGTGTTAAGATTTAGTCCGTTGTTGCACCGATATCTTTCCACTATTCTTTCGGTGTAGGAGAGCATTCTTGTGTACAATACTTTATATGTTATATTGAGTGTAGTGATACTTCTATAATTATCACACACCATCATATCTCCCTTTGTGTGAAGTGGACACCTTATACCTAATTTTCAGTCTGCGGTCGTTTCTTTCTGTTACCCGATTTCAGTTATTTATGCATATGTTTCAAAAGGGTATCGCTGCTGTTTTTAAAAGTTCGGAAGGGAGATTATCCGAACTGGAAGCTTTGTTATTTTTCAATTTTAAAATAACATCTAATTTCTGCTTCATAGGAGTGGCTGCCGATAATTTTTATTCATTTGAATCATGAGAACCTCAATCTCCTATTCATGATTGTCATTAATCAGTTCTTCAAAATGATTCACTCATCTGTTTAGTATCTGTTCCTTGTCACTAGCTACAAAACCATCAACAAATCTAGTTTATTCTAAATTATACAAAACGAAAACCATTAGACTTATTTGGAACAATTGATGGTTCGTTACCAAAGCCAGAAAATGCTGAAGCTTTAGGCTTTTGCTACAAAGGAATGCTAAGATTCAAAGCATCAATCATAGTAACAAGATAATCTCAAAAATTATTTATTTGCACAAGCGATTTAAAAATATTGTCACCTTTTTAGCAAGAATTGAAGAAACTATGGGTCGAATTAAATAGTTAAAAGGTCAAGCTATTGATATCAAAATTAAGCTTTCTAAGTTTCTAAAATGTACTATACTAACAACCAAAAATGTTGGGAACCACGTACGGGAAGCTATTTGTTTTATGAAGAGGGTTTAAATATAATAAAATAATTCAGTAATATAAATTTTCATTCACTTTATATATTACTTTTATACTCTTTATTTATTGTTTAGTTTATTCATTTTATAATATTGTCGCATCTTCGCACAGGCGGACCTAGTGGAATAGATACTTGAGGAACTGGGGCATTTTCCCAGTATCCAGGAAATCGGTCACCACTCGACATATTACATTGCATGCTCAGTGGAGATTCATTATACACTTCGTCCAATAACTGGATTCTCATTCGGTTCCATTTGATTGATTTATAGTTATCTGATATGCCTTTGACAGGTGAAGTGTCTTGGTCTTCCCATCTAAACAAACGAAAAGTTTATTAGTCTTTGATATATTATACAGTCTATATATTATTAAAATACAAATAAGTATAAGTAAAAATACAAATGCAGTTTATTTCTAATAAATATATACAATTCTATTTTCTTAATGTTGCTTATGAATGCTTTAACGCTTGAAACTTTTGTATCTGTAGCACGGAACCTTAGGGTAGTGCGGACTTTATGGGAATTTTTACATTAAAATACGATCAGGATAATAAAGAATAATTTACAAAGAAAACAAAGGGTATTCATTTACTAGATAGATAGAAGAATAACGTAAAATAAATAGCTGGAAACGGAGACAGAACGTCAAGTTTTCAAAGTTTCAATAATTCCACATCAAAATTCACTCAATCTTCACAAGCTGCGTCTTACACTTGTTCCTTTTATGATTTGTAATTTAGTATTTTTGTGATTTCTATAATATTTATGATTGTTATTGTCTCCATAAGTTCTTGCATTGTTATACGATGAATTCCACAGGTTATATAACATATAGGGGAGAGTTGCCCGAAATGGGGACCCCATCACATTTTGTGACATAAAATGAAAATTTATAATAAATAAAATATTTTACACAATTATGTAGTTAAAGTGTGTCTTCAGATACCAGAAAACAGATATTGAGTATATAAAACAAATTACGTAAGGACAGAAATAGCCGGTTGTACGAAGCCTACCTCTCTACCCCTACTGTACCGGGTAGCTGGATTCGCATCACCAGACGACCGTAGATGCGCCTTACAATATGTGGAGAAGTTCAGGCAAAATTTCGATGAAAGGCACCAATTATACAGGTTTGACGAACCGTCAGGAATCAGCCGACTTAAATCAAGGAAAAGGTTTATGAGAAATGTCAGCGTCGAACCACCCGAACTGTTCCCCTACATTCAGAACAACCTAATGGAATGAACCTGGACTGGAGGAGAACCTGGCGGATACTCAACCGCATACGTACAGGTGTTGCCCCTGTAAAACAGAACCTCATTAAATGGGGCATCAAGACAGATAGCGACGCACTTTGTGACTGTGGGGAAATACAGAACGTGGAGCACCTGAGAGTACGCAGACTTTGCCCATCACAGTGCACCCTCGATGATTTATGGCTCGCAAATACAAAGGCTGTAGACGTAGGCCGATATTGGTCAGAAAAACTGTAGTGGGATCCAGACACGAATAAGTAAAGTAAGGGGAGAGTTGCCCAAAATGGGGACCCCATTGCATTTTGTGACAAAATGAAAATTTGTAAAAAATAAAATATTTTACACAATTATGTAGTTAAAGTGTGCCTTCAGATATAATCTATTTATCTATACAGCCCTAAATATCCTTGGATATAGGCCTCCTCCTCCTTCTTCCATGCCTCTCTATCTTGGGCAATTTGCATCCATTTTGACCTAGCGTGTTTCTTCAGGTTATCTGACCATAGCATTTGTGGCCTTTCCCTTTTTCGTTTATTATTCCATGGTCTCCAATGTATAATTGTCTTAGTCCATCTTTCATCTTTCTGCCTTAGGGTATGTCAGGCGAACTTCCTTGGATATAGGCCTCCTCCTCCTTCTTCCATGCCTCTCTATCTTGGGCAATTTGCATCCATTTTGACCTAGCGTGTTTCTTCAGGTTATCTGACCATAGCATTTGTGGCCTTTCCCTTTTTCGTTTATTATTCCATGGTCTCCAATGTATAATTGTCTTAGTCCATCTTTCATCTTTCTGCCTTAGGGTATGTCAGGCGAACTTCCTTGGATATAGGCCTCCTCCTCCTTCTTCCATGCCTCTCTATCTTGGGCAATTTGCATCCATTTTGACCCAGCGTGTTTCTTCAGGTCATCTGACCATCGCATTTGTGGCCTTCCCCTTTTTCGTTTATGATTCCATGGTCTAAAATGTATAATTGTCTTAGTCCATCTTTCATCTTTCTGTTTTATTATTATTCAGATACTAGAAAACAGATATTGAGTATTTAACACAAATTACGTAAGGACAGAAATAGACATTTTTGAAAATGAGCAAATATCTCATTTTTCCAGAAAGGGTGGGTAAAATGGGGTACATTGAAATATTAGGTTATTTTTAAATTAAACATGTAATAAAGTATTGAACATTATTATACAGTAGGTTCAGTATGACAGTATGAACAGTATTAAAAAAAATCAAACTATAAACAAAAATCCCATATAAAAGTGTCATAATCATCTTCACAGCTTGAGCAATTCATGTGCCCAGCCACCACATTTGCACCACCGAATCCAACCTTCCTGATCGAAAGAGTTTTTGTACATCTCGTTGCAAAAAATGCAAGCTTCTTCGTCGTCTTCTTCCTCGTCTTCATTAGAGGACGTATCAGAATCTTCAGCCTAATACTTTCTATTTTTACGCTTATTTTGGATAGACAAATCATTGTTTTGTTTCATTTTCTTGGGCAGTAGCAGGACTTGTTCTCTAATCTTTCTTTTCTTTAATAGATTATCACTGGAAGTCGCAGATTTTTTATTTTTGTTGAAGAGGTCTTTTTTGTGTTTACCTTCTTGTTTCTCTTGGTGCTCCTGTTCTTCGGCCTCTAGTTCAGTCTTGTATGAATTGTTGAAGTAGAGGGCTCAGGACAAGTTTCTTTATAAGGTTCAGGAGAAGCGTCGTTAGCAGGCACAGTTCCACTTGAAAAAGTAAATGTTCTGTTCTATTGTTTGTGGTGTTAATAGTAGTGGCGCATTAGATCTGCTGCTCAGAATTGTGGTTTGGTTGTTTTGTGGTATCTGATGGGGCAAACAGGTAATAAGGGAATACATCTCTATTGAAAGGATATACTTCTGTTTTTTAAATCACTTCACTGCGGTTTGAACATTAGCTGCCTTGAAAAAGCCGCATTTACTAATTGTTCAATTTGATAAATTGCAACACCCCTGTAACTGATTAAGTAACCATTTTTTAACCACATGTGCATAAAATGTACTAAGTGGTGCCATAAATGAGACATCGAGCGGTTGTAATCGATGTGTGGTGTCTGGTGGAAAACATAATAATATAATGTTATTTTCCCGAGCAAGATGAAGGAGTTCTAAACTTTTGGTATGGGAACTGTGACCATCAAAAATAAGCAGCACTGGTTTTTGAGGTCCGGGATTAGAAAACTCAATAAACTTTTTAAACCATACAATAAAGTTTTCTTTAGTTATCCATCTAGTCTCATAATACACTGCAGATGACCCTGGTGGGCACCATCCATTAAGAGCGGATTTACTTTCTAACGGGGAAATACAAACTGGCATAAAATTCACTGTAGTATTTATACAGGTTTCTAAGGTCACCAGTACACCTAGTTCTGCTGAGGACAAACAACTCACTTGCTTATTACCACGCACAGCAAGGATTCTGGAAGGTTTGTTAGGTACAGTCATAATGACGATCTCATCTATGTTGTAGATATCATTGGGTGATACATTGTGTTGCGTATATAAAAATTCAAGCAAATCAACAAATTTCTTTACTGCTGCTCGATTAAAACCTTTTGCTCTTGCCAGTGAAGTTTTTTCAGGATTACGTAATGCTAATTGGGGGTGCCGCCTTAGAAAGCCATAAAGCCAATGTTTATCAGCCATTTTCTTATCTTCATTAAACACGTGTGGCATAAGATTTTTAACGGCTAAACCGAAAGCTAGTTTTCTTAAATCTGTTAAGCTAAAGCCAAACAATCTTTCTTCTAAATATAAAATATAATGCACAAGTTCATTTTCTTACGCCTCGGAAAAGACAGTCTTAAATATACCCAATCTTTTTTCTGCAGCTTCTTTCGAACTCAATCCTTTTTCTCGAGTTTGTTGAGCATGTTGCCTTCTAACACTTCTTGAATGACGGCCATCATACTTTCCTTGGGCCAACTCTGTCTGTCGCTTTTTCTTGTATAACGACCCATGTTGAAATCTTAAAATAAACATAATTAGTTATATAATTCAATGCATAAATGCTACCTTGTAATTTTTGTATAGACTCAGACTTTTTTCAATAATACCTTTATATTTAAATAATTTGTCAAAAGCAGTTCTACCTAGGTACCTAGTAAAATTACTTAATCGGAATTAAAATATTCCCTAGGTTAAAATGGGGACGTCGCCGTTTTAAGCTACCCTTACCGTCCCCATTGAACCCGTTTATAACTTAATTAAAAAAATATGGCGTATCGGAGCTAAAATGTTAATATTTTTAAATGAGTATTATGTGAAAATGTAGCTTAAAGACAGCGGAAACAAAGGTCTATTTACCGAAATTGATTATTTCAATGTAGCTTGCTAACACCAACCAATAGTGCAGGCTGAAATCGTAAACAAATCACAAAAATCTTGAATCGACTGTACTCAAAACAAACATAAGCTCACACCTCGACTAATTAGGTACTGCAAATTGGTTAGTAGGCAACTAAGAACATCCACGCGTCGTTCGGCGGTCAATTCTCCACTCTATTACTGAAATTTTGAATGTCCCCATATTTCCCTGCGTCCCAGGCTACTCTTTCCTAAATGTCACGAAACAAATGACCAATGTACAAAGGAAGAATAGTTGATAGATCTCATAAAACTGAATACAGATAAATAGAAGATGAGTTGAAAGAAGTACAAATGACAAACGTTGACATTTTGTGAGGGTAGTCGCATGATTTGAGGTCAACTTGAAAGAAAGAGGTTCGTTCTTATAATGCTCAAGAAATCTGAAATTTGCCTGCGGTCAAGTGTCTGTTTGTTTGAATGATAATCGTAATAATGTATGCTGAAGATTTTCTTGTAGTGTCAAAATTTTAATACACTAAAATGAGAAGTAAATAAACGGAATACATTTAATACAAATGTTGTTCTTCAATACTTACTCGTTCATATACCTAAAAAGCGTTTTCAATGCTTGATCACTTATTGAGCTCTTACACACTTCAAGCTCGCTGCTAGGAAAATAGTGGATGTAGTTAACACACATCTCGTCACTTATGCTGAACCCCCCAAGAGTTACATTTTCTCTATCTTCTGTGTTGTAGTCGCATTTGGTTATTAAACTATGGCCCTAAAAACCAAACTGCTTGTATTTTTAAGATATATGTTAGGCAATTTCAGGTTAAATTCATATTGAAGTTTGAACATGTGCTACCACAATTCTCTTAATTTTATATCATCATATTCCTGCAGTTCATACATAATTACTTAACCTAATTACTAAACAAGAAACAGTCCTTGTTTAGTGTAGTGTTATGTTCAATTTGTATTTTAATTTTATGTTTATGACATATTACAATTGTTGGATAGTCCAAAATTTGACAAAATGCCCCTGAAGATGCTCTAGGAAGCGAAGGTACTCGGGCAAGATTTAATTAATAAAAAAGTGCTCGATATCTGCCTTTCATTTTATCAAAGTAAATTTAATGAAATAGGTTAAGGAGGGGAGAACTGTTTGTCTCAAGTTGGTCATTCAGAATTATATCTGTGTTTTTTAATTTGTGAATTTTCATAGATTCTAACAAAGATAGCTTAAAGCCTTCATATTGAATGTGAAGAATTTGAAATTCGTCATCAAATGATTATGATCTAGAAGGGGAAGTGCGTATGCAGAATCTGTTTTTCTATAATTGAGAGCCCTTTTATGTTCTGCTATTCGTTTATTAAAATTTCTACCAGTTTGACCGATGTAAGTTTTTGGGCAGTCGCCACATTTAAGTTTATATACACCACTGTGTAAGTGCTTTTTATTTTGGCTCTTGTTTTTAATATATTTGTCTAAGTTGTTATTTGTTCTGAAAGCTGGTGTTATTCCTTTTTTTTTAGGTGTTTGGCTATTGTTGTTGATATTTTGTCTAAATATGTAATCGAGCAGAAGGTACTGGGTTTTTTTCTGGTGGTGGAAATACTAATTTCAGGACTTTCTTGTGTAGTTTTTAATTTAAAATTTTATTAAGTGTTTGTTCGTTGTATCCATTGTTTAATGCTATTTGCTTAATAATATTTAATTCTGTCTCAAAGTTGTATTTTGACATCGGAATTTCTGTTAATCTATGAAACTACTATGATAGTAGCTGCCAGTTTATGTTGTGTGGGATGGGATGATGAATTGTGTATAGTCATGTCAGTATGGGTAGGTTTATGAAATATAGAGAAGTCATGTTTGTTTTTAAGTCTGATAATTTTTAAATCTAAAAAATTTATGGATTGATTTTGTCTGTTTCTATTGTGAATTAAATATGACTATGAAGTGAATTAATATACGATAAACATTGATCGAGTTGCCTGTTAGTTCCTGTGAAACATACCAGTACGTCGTCTACGTATCTCTTGAAAAATAAAGTTTTATTGTTACATAAAAGTGTTTTATTGTAACATAAAAGTGTTTTATTGTTACATAAAATGAATTTCCATCAAGTAACGGTCGAATCCATCAATTATTACAAAATTAACACCTAACTTAACGTATGTTACCAGTAAAATACTAGTTAACAAAAAATATTTACGTTGTTCAATGCGTTTTGAAAAATTTATAGCGTATCTAATAATATACTATTTGTAAAATATCGGATAGCAATTATAGACCAAGCAAAAAATTTGACGATTTGGATATAAGTCCTGATTTCTCTCCCATTAATCTTGATTATGATTATCTATGATTATGAGTATAATTAAAAGAATTTGTAGCCAAACAGTTTTTTGCTTCTTCTGAAATCATTATTGCTAAAATTGAGTTGCCCCCTTTTTGCACCAGTGTCTTCGATTCCGTGTGTATCATTCGAAAGCATTTTTTTTTCAACTGCTAATCGTGAATGGGAATGAAGGTATTAACGAAAGCAAGTTTTCTAGCTATCACTCTGTACATTTGTGACAAATTTTAAACTTCTCTTAAAAAATAACAAAAAGAAAGTTAAACTTTTACAATACAGAATAAAAAAAATTGAAGGATTAAAAAAACAGAAATTGAATTATGAAATAGAAAACGTAGGAAAACAACGAAAAAGATATAGATGAACTTAAAACTAAAGTCAACAAAAGTACGAACCAGAGAACTGTACGAACATTAAATATAAAAGTGACTAAAACTAATATAGTAAAAGAAAAGAAAAATCAAGGACCAAAAAAAGGTTTAATTTTTCATCCAATAAATTTAATCACTAGATAATCAGTAACTAGAGTGTTATAAAATTTTATAACGTTTCTATACTGTAGTCTACCTTATTCTTTTCGGTTTCTGTGGCTTCCCATCATAATCTACTTACCATGAGACACAGAATGAATAAAAGAATAGTAAATCTCATGAAGAATAAATATGGACTTACCGGCAGAATTTTGACAGGTCGTTTAAGAATTCGTATTTCTTGGAAATGGGTACTGAAATGGTTGTCTCTGTTGAGTTCCGGTAGTTCTCTTCCATGCTCATCAAAGTGTCTGGTGATAACACGTACTCCTGTTAAATGAGTGTGTAATTGGGAGCCAAATATGGTAATACCTTCTGGAGATAGACTCTAAAAATGTTGTCTATGATATCACTACTGCGATTTTAAGTATATACGAATTTAAAAGAACGATTACCATTGCATTAATTAAATGTTAAAAAAGTTATGTGCAACCTTATGAGATTCTTTTCATAATATGCTTTTTTACTAAATGTTTATTTTTATATTTTAAACATAAAAGGGACATTTTTTTATTGATATTAGTAGGTTGCTAGAAAACTTCTAACAGGATTTAAATATTTGACATGTACGATCGTCAGCGGATCAACATCAGTTTTCCTTCTTTGAATAATAATTTGAATAAGATTTCAAATCCATTTTAAAAAATTAACTCAGTTAATTAGGCAAGTTTCAGGATTTTTTAAAAGGTCTATAAAATCAGATGTTTTTCTTTATTAAAATTAATAATTTTTACGGTAAAAATATTCAAACTTTAACATAAATAATCGTAAAATAGTTTCGAAACACAATTCAGATTTCTGCTTTTATCTGTGCTTTCTAAAAATTGCAAAGCAAAACAGACGTTGATAAAGGTGTTAAAAGAGACGTGGGGAATCTAAAATTTGCATTCCACGACACATCTTTTCAACTAAGCAGAAATCCTTAGCGAATTGGTTTCTTGTACTCGTACAGAGTAAATCCGAAAAAAGTGAAAAAGACAGCAAATATTTGATTTCACGCAAACAGCGCCTTTGTATCTGTTGATACGTATTTCGACCTAATAGGTCTCATCAGAACAGTTATTCAAAGGTGTTCTCAACGTGAAAGATCAATATTTCCTGTCTTTTAAGAAGCAACAATAACATGGCTTCGAATACGGACGCACTAGCGACATCTAACTTAACAATCGTAAAATAGTTTCGAAACACAATTCAGATTTCTGCTTTTATCTGTGCTTTCTAAAAATTGCAAAGCAAAACAGACGTTGATAAAGGTGTTAAAAGAGACGTGGGGAATCTAAAATTTGCATTCCACGACACATCTTTTCAACTAAGCAGAAATCCTTAGCGAATTGGTTTCTTGTACTCGTACAGAGTAAATCCGAAAAAAGTGAAAAAGACAGCAAATATTTGATTTCACGCAAACGGCAGTCGTGGAATGCAAATTTTAGATTCCCCACGTCTCTTTTAACACCTTTATCAACGTCTGTTTTGCTTTGCAATTTTTAGAAAGCACAGATAAAAGCAGAAATCTGAATTGTGTTTCGAAACTATTTTACGATTGTTAAGTTAGATGTCGCTAGTGCGTCCGTATTCGAAGCCATGTTATTGTTGCTTCTTAAAAGACAGGAAATATTGATCTTTCACGTTGAGAACACCTTTGAATAACTGTTCTGATGAGACCTATTAGGTCGAAATACGTATCAACAGATACAAAGGCGCTGTTTGCGTGAAATCAAATATTTGCTGTCTTTTTCACTTTTTTCGGATTTACTCTGTACGAGTACAAGAAACCAATTCGCTAAGGATTTCTGCTTAGTTGAAAAGATGTGTCGTGGAATGCAAATTTTAGATTCCCCACGTCTCTTTTAACACCTTTATCAACGTCTGTTTTGCTTTGCAATTTTTAGAAAGCACAGATAAAAGCAGAAATCTGAATTGTGTTTCGAAACTATTTTACGATTGTTAAGTTAGATGTCGCTAGTGCGTCCGTATTCGAAGCCATGTTATTGTTGCTTCTTAAAAGACAGGAAATATTGATCTTTCACGTTGAGAACACCTTTGAATAACTGTTCTGATGAGACCTATTAGGTCGAAATACGTATCAACAGATACAAAGGCGCTGTTTGCGTGAAATCAAATATTTGCTGTCTTTTTCACTTTTTTCGGATTTACTCTGTACGAGTACAAGAAACCAATTCGCTAAGGATTTCTGCTTAGTTGAAAAGATGTGTCGTGGAATGCAAATTTTAGATTCCCCACGTCTCTTTTAACACCTTTATCAACGTCTGTTTTGCTTTGCAATTTTTAGAAAGCACAGATAAAAGCAGAAATCTGAATTGTGTTTCGAAACTATTTTACGATTGTTAAGTTAGATGTCGCTAGTGCGTCCGTATTCGAAGCCATGTTATTGTTGCTTCTTAAAAGACAGGAAATATTGATCTTTCACGTTGAGAACACCTTTGAATAACTGTTCTGATGAGACCTATTAGGTCGAAATACGTATCAACAGATACAAAGGCGCTGTTTGCGTGAAATCAAATATTTGCTGTCTTTTTCACTTTTTTCGGATTTACTCTGTACGAGTACAAGAAACCAATTCGCTAAGGATTTCTGCTTAGTTGAAAAGATGTGTCGTGGAATGCAAATTTTAGATTCCCCACGTCTCTTTTAACACCTTTATCAACGTCTGTTTTGCTTTGCAATTTTTAGAAAGCACAGATAAAAGCAGAAATCTGAATTGTGTTTCGAAACTATTTTACGATTGTTAAGTTAGATGTCGCTAGTGCGTCCGTATTCGAAGCCATGTTATTGTTGCTTCTTAAAAGACAGGAAATATTGATCTTTCACGTTGAGAACACCTTTGAATAACTGTTCTGATGAGACCTATTAGGTCGAAATACGTATCAACAGATACAAAGGCGCTGTTTGCGTGAAATCAAATATTTGCTGTCTTTTTCACTTTTTTCGGATTTACTCTGTACGAGTACAAGAAACCAATTCGCTAAGGATTTCTGCTTAGTTGAAAAGATGTGTCGTGGAATGCAAATTTTAGATTCCCCACGTCTCTTTTAACACCTTTATCAACGTCTGTTTTGCTTTGCAATTTTTAGAAAGCACAGATAAAAGCAGAAATCTGAATTGTGTTTCGAAACTATTTTACGATTGTTAAGTTAGATGTCGCTAGTGCGTCCGTATTCGAAGCCATGTTATTGTTGCTTCTTAAAAGACAGGAAATATTGATCTTTCACGTTGAGAACACCTTTGAATAACTGTTTTGATGAGACCTATTAGGTCGAAATACGTATCAACAGATACAAAGGCGCTGTTTGCGTGAAATCAAATATTTGCTGTCTTTTTCACTTTTTTCGGATTTACTCTGTACGAGTACAAGAAACCAATTCGCTAAGGATTTCTGCTTAGTTGAAAAGATGTGTCGTGGAATGCAAATTTTAGATTCCCCACGTCTCTTTTAACACCTTTATCAACGTCTGTTTTGCTTTGCAATTTTTAGAAAGCACAGATAAAAGCAGAAATCTGAATTGTGTTTCGAAACTATTTTACGATTGTTAAGTTAGATGTCGCTAGTGCGTCCGTATTCGAAGCCATGTTATTGTTGCTTCTTAAAAGACAGGAAATATTGATCTTTCACGTTGAGAACACCTTTGAATAACTGTTCTGATGAGACCTATTAGGTCGAAATACGTATCAACAGATACAAAGGCGCTGTTTGCGTGAAATCAAATATTTGCTGTCTTTTTCACTTTTTTCGGATTTACTCTGTACGAGTACAAGAAAACCAATTCGCTAAGGATTTCTGCTTAGTTGAAAAGATGTGTCGTGGAATGCAAATTTTAGATTCCCCACGTCTCTTTTAACACCTTTATCAACGTCTGTTTTGCTTTGCAATTTTTAGAAAGCACAGATAAAAGCAGAAATCTGAATTGTGTTTCGAAACTATTTTACGATTGTTAAGTTAGATGTCGCTAGTGCGTCCGTATTCGAAGCCATGTTATTGTTGCTTCTTAAAAGACAGGAAATATTGATCTTTCACGTTGAGAACACCTTTGAATAACTGTTCTGATGAGACCTATTAGGTCGAAATACGTATCAACAGATACAAAGGCGCTGTTTGCGTGAAATCAAATATTTGCTGTCTTTTTCACCTTTTAACATAAATACTTTGTATACCTAAGCAGTAATATAAATATTTGTACAGACAAAATATATTAAATGATATGACTTTTACAGCACCCTTAAAAAATCCCTACGTATATCATTATCATAATCAGTTGGAGCTAGAGCTCTTTGTGAGTACTGGCCAGTTTTAGAATATTCTTCCACCCTGTCGAGTGTCTGTCTTCTCCATCCCCTTACTCCCAAATCAATTCCCTTAAATCCTCCTGCACATCGTCCTGATGTCTGAGTTTAGGTCGCCCCTTCTTCTTTTTCCGACAGACATATTTAGTATGGTTATTTTAGCAGGATCAGTTTCATCCATCCACATAACGTGGTCCACCCAACTTACGAGGTTTTTTTATGCTTTTCAGGATATCAGACCTTTCCAATTTATATTCACCACAGATACTGCTCGTTAATTCTGCCATGGCCCTCTATACGTTTCTTTCAAAGATTCATAATAACTATTGATCGTCGTCATTGCCAATGTTTCTGATCCATGAGCACTAGGAGTATTATTGTTTTATAAAGTTTTCACTTTGTTGCTCTTGACATATTTCTTGCTCTTAGTTGAGGACCAAACGAACTGCAGTAGTGCTGTGTGACATATGACAGTGTCTTGTTTGAAGTTAGATTTGTGTATTTAATTGTTTACAATGGACAACAGTGTATGTAGCAGTGTTAGTTTGGAAATAAAACAAACTGACGTAAGAAAGGGTCGGGAAAAGAAGTGGAATTTCAACAGAAGTTACGGTTAGAGGACAAGCAATACCAAAACTTTAAAAATAAAATCATTTCACCTAAAAAACGTCCACCAAATACGGGAGAATTACGGGAAATTACGGGAGATTATCTATCAATGGAAAAGTTTTGAATAACTTACGTTTTGCAGACGATACAGTAATAATTACGGATAACAACAATGATTTACAGAACCTAATGCAACGCCTTAATGAACGCTGTCATGAGTACGGACTGAAGATAAATTTAAAGAAAACTAAATGCATAATCATGACTAAATCTGCACATGCAAATATCCAATTGACTATTGAAGATACTGCAATTGAGAATGTTAATAACTATAAATATTTAGGAACATGGATAGCATCAGATGTAGACCAAACCAAAGAAATTAGGACACGTATTGAAATAGCACGTACATCATTTATT